CTCGATGAGGTTGAGCTGCTAAGTGGCTTTTAATCTCCTTTAAAGAATGTGAGGTACGAAGCTGGGTACAATGGTGCATGCCTGTAATCCCAGCAGCTCGGGAGGCTGAGGCAGGAGAATCACGAGTTCAAAGCCAGTCTCAGCAAAAGTGAGATGCTAAACAACTCAGTGAAACCCTGTCTCTAAGTAAGATACAAAATAGGGCTGGGTTGTGGCTCAGTGGTTGAATGTCCCTGAGTTCAAGCCCTAGTACCTCAAAATAAATAAATATTTTTTAAAAGAGAATATGGGTTACTGGGCCTGGGGTTGTGGCTCAGTGGTAGAGTACTCTCCTAGCACATGTGAGGTACTGGGTTCAATCCTCAGCGCCACATAAAAAAAATAAAGTTATATACGTATGAATGTATAAGTGTGGGGCACCGACGGGGGCCAGCTCACAGAAGATGCTCATTTCCTCTATCAGTTCTGGGGACTGGTATGCGAGGGCCTGTGACCTGGGCTCCTGAGGGCACTTGGAGTACCTTCCACATGCAGCATCCCTCCCTGGACTCACCTGAAGCATCCTCAGCTGAAGGACCCTCTCACCTGGAGACTCCCTCAACTAAAGCACTCTCTCACCTGGAGCACTCCTCACGTAGTGAGACCCTCACCTGGAGTACCTTTTGCCTTGATGCCTCAGAACAGAGGAGTCTTCCACATCTGTGCCACTGTGGGCCTCAGTCCTGGAGTCAAGGAGGGTTGAGGACCAGAGGCTGCTGGCACATTTGGCCCTGAGGCCTTGGAGGGCTGTGAGAGGGGGTAATGGTAACATCAGAGCTAAAAATGTTACCCCACGTGGAGTGGGCTCTGAAGCCTGCTGCAGTCTTTTCATGGGAGGTCCTTGAGGACTCTGGGATGGAATTTGTGCCCTGGAGCCCCAGACCTAGGTCAGTCACACCCTCCCCAGATGGGGCTCAGGCATTCCCCCTTGTTGAGCCCTTCCTGGGAAATGGGTCTGGACTCTACAGGGAGACCCTGAAGATCTCAGCACAGTACTGATGGTGAGAGCCCCTTCAAGAGCAAAATGATTTATCCTGGGACCAGATGGGGGCACCCTGCTTCCACTCCCCTGACCCTGCTTGGAGGCAGAGGAGATAGGCAGAGAGTCTTGGGGATAGGCAGGTGGGTCATCTGGCTGTGGAAGATCATGTCCACAGGTGTGAGAACTTCATGGCCATGGTGGCCAAGGTGGCTGTGGTGGCCATAGGTGAGGATGGTGTGGCACTGCTGCCCTCAGCTCCTGCTCCATCCTGGCCCGCCCCCTGTCACGGCTGAGGATGACTCAGGGCCCATCTGTCACCGCAGCAACACGGAGTCGCCTAGCGATGGCGGTCTCCCAGCAACGGTCGTCTCCTAGCAATGGGATATTTTCCTGGCCCTGGCTGGAGCCAGCAGCTATTTTTAGCTCAAGTGCAAATCAATCAGCAGCTGCATTTTCAGCTCTAGAGATTTGGGGGGGGGTTCTCAGCAAGTGAAGAAAAACATCTGAAATAGAAATCTTGCTTCCCACACCTTGAGGGGCAGGGCAGAAGGTGGGCAGGAGCCATAGGTTGCACAGACTCCCTGGGATAGTCGGCAGCTATGACTGTTCCTGGGAACCCCAGCCCAAAGAGCTGGTGGCTTGAGAGCACTCCGAGTTTCCATAGATTAAGCTGTGTGGATGACCCAGGTCAGTGCTCATGATAGATGCCACTGAGCATGTTACTGGATGGCTCTGATAGCCCCATCCCTCAGTTGTAGAAACTATCTCCTTATACCCAGGGCTATAGCACTATGCCAGGGCCATCCAGAGCAGCACATGTGACCATTCCTGGTTGTAGGGATCTCAGTGCCAAGTCCTTATCTGAGGACACAGGGAGGGCCAGCCTCAGGTCACCCACATCTCTCCCTCACCTGGCTACCAGTGAAATCTGAGACTTGGGCAGAGAACCCTGTGCAAGCTGGAGACTTGACTATTCTCTCTGGGCTTTCTGGTCATTTCCTCCAGAGTTCTGCTCACTGGTACCTTGAGGCAAGCTCACCTTGGTCAGTAAAGCTGGCAGGGCTCGCCTTGCCATCCCCACCATCCACTCCAAGTGGTCTAGGTTTGCTCTGAGCTCCATCAGTCTTGAGGCCATTGCCCCCTGACCCCCTTAACTCTGCTCTGGGGGTTGTTCCTGAGGGCTGTGCAATAGCAGAGGTGGGCATCTGAGAGGTGGCACCCTATGGCAGTGCCTGAGGCCTCCACTGCTCCTCACCTCCATCAGGCTGCTCCTCCAAGGCTCCTTTGGGGAAGCCAGGCCTCAGGATTTTCTCCCAGGCTGGCCACCCCTCTTTGGGACAGGAGGCTTTGGGATGCTGCATGCCACTTGGCCAAAGCCAGGCAGAGCAGAAGCTGGGAAAGGGGGGACAGCCATTCAGATCTCTTCACTCTCACAGGGGGAATTCAAGCCTTCGAGGTCTGATGTGAATACACTTAAGCGAGCCCCAACTGGCAGCAGTCGGCAAGTTCCCCAAGGTCAGGACCTTATTCATTCACTTTACCTTTCCCTGATTTGCTCTCCAGGTAGTTACTGAGCACAGGCACTAGGTGCATTGTATCCTGTACCCATAGCAACTAAGGCCACACATGGCCTTCAGGATCCTTGCCCATGGCATTGGAACTCAATGGCTGAAGCACCGAGGTGCTTCCCTGGGTGGGACAGGAGCTATGAGAAATGGTTTCTCTCTGGGTTTTCTCCCTTGGTAACAACATCATCGCATTATCACCAAAAGATGGGCATGGTGCAAGCAGCAGAAGGAGCGTAGTGTTGAGGAGGCAGCTTAAACCAGGTCACCCTCTGGGAACCCGTCTCTTGCACCCAGGACACTGTCCCCTTCTCTGGGTGAACGCTGGAGTTATTGGCGCGATTCTGAGGCTGACTCCTCACATTCCTCCAGAGGGCGCCTGGAGCCCACTAAATGCCCCAGGGGCCTGGGCTTGGGTAGCTGCAGCCTGGTGATGATGGAGAAGGTGATGGTGCAGCCTTTGGGCCAGGACAGCTGTGGCAGCTGACCCAAGGGTCCCCCTTCCTTCTTCAAATATCTGATGAACCTTCTGTTCACACTGGGCTCTCTTGCTTTTTTCCTTTTTAATTTTTGGATCTGGGGATTGAACCCAGGGGTGATCTACTATGGAGCTTCAGCCCTTTTTTCATTTATTTATTTTGGATTTTTTTTTTGGGGGGGCTACTGGGGATTGAACCCAGGGCCTTGTGTTTGCAAGATAAGTACTCTACCAATTGAGCTATATCCTCACCCCCCCCCTTTTTTTGAGACAGGGTCTCATGAAGTTGCCCTGGCTGGCCTTGAACATTTAGATCCTCTTGTCTTGGCCTCTCAAGTAGCTAGGATGACAGGTGTGCAACACTGCACCCAGCCTATCAACCCTCTTAGGTTCAGTAGTATTAAGCACATTCTTACTAGTGTATAACCAATGTCCTGAGCTCCTTCCATCTCCTCAAACTGAAACCAAGCCTGTAAAACCCAACTATTCCTCTACCTTTGTGAATGTCACGGCTCTAGGAACCTCATATAAGTAGAACTGCATAGTATTTGTCTTTTTGTGACTGGCTCATTTCCTCAGGGCTCATCCATATTATAGCAGGTGTGGAACTTTTGTTTTGAATAACAGAATGATATAATAGTAATAATAACCTATTGTGGATATAATGTGTTTGCCATGGACATTGGGTTACTTTCATTTTTTTTGGCTATTGTTATGCTCTGTTCTGGCTCCCTAGCCAGAGGCAGCAAGCCACCCGAGTCCCATGGTTCCTGGCCTGTCTTTGGTTTGGGAAGGTTCTGGGGACAGGAGAGGGCATCAGTACTAGAGAGCCTGCTGGGGCTGACTGGGGACTCCAACCACTCCCTCCCACTGGGGCCCTCCAGTCTCATCTGCCTGCTATAAGCTGCAAATCCAGGGCTACAGGGGAAGCTGGGGCAGTGGGCACAGGGTTCAGAGTCTAGGCTGGCATCTCGAGATTTCCTGGTGGGTCAAGAACTCTCCCTCAGAGTCTTGCCCACACTTTCTGTTCTTCCTGCTGCCTCCCCCAACACACCCCTCAGGCCAAACTCAGAGACCCCTGATACTCAGAAGTTCACCACTCCCTGCTTCACCTGACCCCCTGCTTCACTTGAAAGTGGAAGGCCAGCTGGTCTGGACTTGGAAGGGTCTGCTTCTGTGGCACAGGGTATCCTTCTGACAATTACCTGTATCACAGGTCTTCCCCATACTAGCTCCTCCAGACGATTCCATCCTCCACAGAATTCATCCAACAACCCTGAGGTGTGACGCCTGTATATCTGAAGACAGAGAGCTCAACCCTGCCCGTCCTGGAGGGCAGCAACAGGTTGGCAGCGCTCCTACCTCCTGCTACTGATCTCTCTCTCTCTTTTTTTTTTTTTTTTTTTGTGTGTGTGTGTGTGTGCTGGGATTGGAACCCAGGGCCTTGTACATGCAAGACAAGCACTTTACCAATTGATCTATATCCCCAGCCCCTGGTATTGGCCATTCTTCCCTGGATACAAGCTGCCTCAGGGGAAGGGGCAGAGGAACCAGGTCGGGTGGTGTGTGGGCTAGAAGTGCAGCTCCCGCTCTCATAAAGGACCAGACTTGCTGCCACTCAGGGGGCGTGGCAGGAACATCTGGGTGAGCCGCCCCTCATTCTTCTGGTGGACCCAAGCCCTCAGCCACTCCATCTAGGGCTCCAGAACTCGGAGGACAGTGGTGACCAGGATGGCTCAGTACCGGCAAGGCAGGGATGGAGGACGGCAAGGGCGACGCAGCGCAAGAGCAGGGACAGCCACAGGTCCCACTTGGCCCTGCGGGCTGGACAGTCCTCCCGCCGAGCACTGGGCCCGCCCCCGAGAGCCTTTGCGATTGGCAGAAAGTTCCACGGTGGGCCTTGATTGGCCAGCGTTCCGCCCCGCCCTCGGTCCCCTGCGCCCGGGCAGCGGGGAAGGGCAGCGCAGAGCTACTGAGGACGGCCGGGACTAGCCGCGCCGGGCTGGGCGGCGGCGCCCGAGCTGCTACCGCCGCCGCCCCGCCCAGAGGCAGCACCCCAAGACCCCAGACCCGAAGCCCCGGCGCGTCTCTGAGCCATGCCGCCCCCGGCGCTGTTCTGTGCACTCTGCTGCGGCCTCCTGGCTGTGTCCGCGCGCGCGGGTTACTCTGAGGACCGCTGCAGCTGGAGGGGCAGGTAGGGGCCCTACTTGCAAGCCCGGCTGTGCTCCCTTTTGGAGAATCTGGGAGACTGCGTCGCTCCCACCTTGAGATGGGAGTGCGCTTCCCTCAGGAATCCAAGGAATGCTGGACCTCGGTGTCCTTCACAAAGGGGGCGGCGGTGTTCTGCGTTTACTACGGGAAAGCGGGCTGTGCGGGCCAAGGACACCAGCAGCTCGCCTCAGCGCTGTTCTCCTGTCCCCAGCGGCCTGACGCAGGAGCCCGGCAGCGTGGGACAGCTGACCTTGGCCTGTGTGGAGGGCGCCATCGAGTGGCTATACCCGGCTGGGGCGCTTCGCCTGACTCTGGGCGCTCCTGACTTTGGCACGAGGCCGGGCATCACCTGTTTGCGCCCAGCGCGGCCCTTCGCGGGCGCCCAGGTCTTCGCTGAACGGGAGGGCGGCTCCCTGGAGTTGCTGCTGACCGAGGGTCCAGGCCTGGCAGGGGGCCGCTGCGTGCACTGGGGTCCCCGCGAGCGCCGGGCCCTCTTCCTGCAGGCTACACCGCACCGCGACATCAGCCGTCGGGTGGCCGCCTTCCGCTTTGAGCTGCGTGAAGACCGAAGCCCAGAACTGCCTCCACAAGTCCACGGCCTTGGTGAGGATGGTGAGTGACCAATTGGATGGGAGGAGGTTGGAGTCACGAGGTTGCGCCCTACCTTGGACTGGCTGGAATGGGACTTGTAAGCCCCCTGCAGAGTGTCCAGCCGGTTGTCAGCCATCCACCTGTTTGGTTCTGGCTGAGCTCCCCACCCTCGGGATTCTTATCAAGGAAAGAACGGGCAGGGAGCAATGCGGAAGGGGTGGCCAAGCTGGCAAACTTGGGTCCCTGAAGAGCTGGGGGGGAGGGGATGGCAGGCAGAGTCAAAGCCTGTGGCAAAAGCTGTCCTCACTGGCCTAGCGGTGACCTCATGCCCCTCCCCCAGCCCAGCCAACAAAAGTCCAGTGTGCCTCCCCGTCACCATGGAGACCCAGTCCTGCCTCTGCAGGGCACCAGGCCCAGCTCTTTGCTCATGGAGCTTTCAGCCTGACCCTGCAGGGGTTGGGGCTCTCACTGTTCGACCTCTTTCCCCAAAGATGGGAACCCCAGAGCCAGAGCACACAATAACCTCCTGCCACTCTGGCAGGGCTGCTGCTCTTTGGGTCCCAGAAGGCCACTCTGGGAAGTCACAGAAGGTTCCCGAATGCTGGTATGTATAAATGAGATGGGTGTTCAAGAGTGCCCCAGGACACTGTCCGGGTGGACACAGCCCCCAGGCCCATGTCTGTGGAGGGTGTCACACAGGCTCTTGCCTGCCAGGGTATTTCCTGACTACAGGTGTGCACACATGCCATGTGACTGCACTTCTGGTGGTGCCTGGGCTCATGATCCCTCCTGCATGCAGGTGCCTGCAGGCCCTGCAGTGATGAGGAGCTCCTCCTGGCTGCATGTACCAGTGACTTTGGTGAGTGTCCCCGTGTGGGGAAGCCTGGGGCCTGCCCTCCTCTGATGGCCCACCCCTGGCCAACATGTTTCCCCGCAGTGATCCGCGGGACCATCCACAGGGTCACACATGACATGGAGCTGCAGGAGTCTGTCATCACTGTGGTGGCCACTCATATCCTCCGCCAGACACTGCCACTGTTGGGGATGGGGGGGCCTGCAGGCCAGGGGCAGGCCTTCATTCGAACCCAGCTGCGCTGTGGTGTCCGCCCTGGCCCAGGCACCTTCCTCTTCATGGGCTGGAGCCGATTTGGTGAAGCCTGGCTGGGCTGTGCCCCGCGCGTCCAAGAATTCACCCGAGCCTACACATCTGCCCAGGCTGCTCACCTCCATCCCTGTGAGGTGACACTGGACTGAGGGCCTTTTTCAGGGGACAGGGTGCTAGGGAGGGTGTGTGGGAGGGAGGTGGGGAGGGGTGGCTTCTGGATGCATTTATGTTCCCAGCTGCTTCCAAGGGTTAGGGATAATCAATAAGAATACTGATCACATGGTAGATCTGGTCTCCTTTGGCCAGCACAACCCTGCACCTGCCTCATTTAATTTCCTTCTCCCTCTACTGTCTTTGCCCACCCCTTCTCAGCCTGGACCTTACCCATGCGTCTGGCTTATTGGCTGGCTGTTGCCTCCAACACCAGGTGCTTCTGGGGCTCAGAGGAGGAGCGAAAGGTGCCATAACTCCCAAGGCCAGGGGGTCTGGGGTCCCTCAGGTGTGTGGGGGCAGGCAGGTAGGCATCACCCCCAGCTCTAAGCCCATCCTGTGAAGGAAAGGGGTTGCAGTCTGGCAGAGTGCCAAGTCCCTCTGTAGCTGTTGTGAGCCAGTCATCTTTGGCCCAGTCCCGCCCTCCGGGAAGAATGGGCCCCTCTGTCCAGAGGCCCCTGCAACGTGCTGAGCATCCAGACATGGCGAGGAGCCTGCAGGGTGTGGGGTCTCCACTGTGGGATCCTGCTTGTCTGTTTCCGGCGAGTGGGGTGCACAATAGGGTCTCTAAGGACCGTTTCCCGCCACTGGTCCCATTGTTGCTGTCCCTGCCTTCTTCCTCAGCCTCCCAGCTGCATAAGGGCTAGTGAGGCCCTGGACAAAGCTCAAGGCCCTGAGGCTGAAAGCCCCTGCATGGGGGTGTGCACTAGGGCTCTCCAGCCCTGGAAGAGTAGATTCCGCTTACCCTCAACCCCTCAGCTATTGGGAAAGAGCCACAGCTCTAATGCTGGGGGACCTCAGGGCCAAGCTTTTCATCTTTGTCTGCTCTCACTGGGGAAAGGGGAAGAGGCAGGGATGGAGCCCAGAGGTTGAATGGGTCTGTCATCTTTCAGGCAAGAAATTGAGGCTAGGAGAGGGACAAACCTGTATAGGATCCACACACCCTTGCTCCAGACTGGGCTGACCAAATGCCCTGTGCCACACAGACTGCTCAGTGGCTGCCTTGGAACCTCCAGGGGACGGGCTATCTAAGTGCCTATAAATTCAACTGCCTGCTTCCTGAGACTGAGAAAGAGGGTAGGAGAGCACCCATGGATGGCAGGCGCTACTGGGTCTCCTCCCACTGTTTCCTCTCATCTCCTCAACCATGCATCCTCAGCACTCAGACCTCCACTTTTCATCTGCAACATGGACCACCCCTTGGACTCCAGACCCTTATTCCCAGCCCCCAGCATCTTCAGGAGCAGAGAAAGAGGGAACCCTGGGCTCTCCCACTGCTCACCTATTCTGGGGAGGTTCTTCCCCCAGGGCTTTGTAGCATCCTCACCTGTGGTACCTGGCTTAATTCTCTGGCCAGTTTCCCACAGTCAGTGCAGAGACCTGTTCCCACAACCTCCCCTCTGGGCCACATCCACTGATGCTTATAGACCACCTCCCAGTTCACCAGTTCACAAATACACTGGGAAGGTGTACTGGGGGGCCCTCAACTCATGTAGCCTGGAAGGTTCCTGAACTTCCTACCCACACAACCATTCAGAGAAATCAGACTTTCCAGCAGTGCTCTGCTTCTCAGAAGGGCACAGGAGACTTTGGTGCTCCAGGAGTCCCAGGAGACAAGTGGCCAAGGCCTAAGAAGTGAGAGAGGAGATAGCAAAGGAAATGGTGTGGGTAAGAAGTGGACTAGAACTGCAGGAGCTGGCCTGAGGGCTCCATGAAGGTCAGAGACGCCTTCATGTGTGTGAACTTAGGCAGGCAGGCCTTGGCTGCTGAGTGCCCAAAGGCAGAAGAGCAGAGTTCTGGTGTGAGTGTAAGAGTCACCAGGTGCAGTTCTGGAGAGCCTTACTGGAGCCAGACATGGCTCCAGGTACTGGAAATAATGCAAGGAGTCCCCCAAGAACAGGGCTTCCACACCTGGAGCTCAGTGCACATCCTTCCTTCTCTTGGAGGGCCCAGTTATAGCCCCCTAGGATATAGGTCCCTAGGAGCTGGTGTACAGGCCTCCTCCCCAGTGCAGTGCACGGAGGCTTTGCTGCTGCCCAGGGACAACTGTCTCAACTGTCCCTCAGTCTGGTTAGGCTAGGGCCAATGTGCAGGCAGGAATGGAAGACACTCTGCAATTGGGGCTGAAGGGTTGGCCTTGGGCACACCCACTTTTCTGGAAGCAGTTTCCATTCTTGTGGGTCCCCTGACCAGGACATGAATGGCTGAGCAGCCAAGCCAGGCTATGTGCACAGACATGGCAATGACATCCAAGAACATTCGTCCTCAGTCTGGGGTGATGAGGTGACCAGCTGCCTGATCCTAGGTTCTGTCCCTTTCCTTGCCGCCTCCACCCCAGGGCTTTACCAGGAGCCACTCAACCCTTTTTCACTTTCTGGAGGAGGTGATCTCAGGGCTCCCCTAGCTGCCTTCCACCCCCAATGCTGGGCCAGCTGCCAGAGGCCCAGCCTCTCGCATCCGGGGCCCCTCCCACCACACTCCGAAGAGAGCCAACATCTGTCTCCTCGCCCCAGTCTTTCCTGTCAAGCCCCTCCTCCCTGGCCCACCAACTCCAGCGCATCTTCCCTTCCCGCTTAACGGTCCTCGCTGTGGGAGGGAGCCTGCAGGATGTCCTCCCGGGACCGCTCTGGGTTTGGCTGGCTTCCAGGGTGTCCTGGTCAGCGAAACCCGCGCCGGTCTCCAAGTCAGCCTTGTGAGGACTTGGCTATGACCCAAGGCCCGCAGCAAGCCCTTCCCGCCGGCCCCACCAACGCACCCCTCTCCGGTGCATGCTCGGGAGGCTGGGGCTCGGACGTTCCCATGCCAGGACAGGCCCCGATAGTCGCCCGCATTGTGGGACGACCGAGCCAACTGCCTCCAGCTAAGAGCAGGCCGCGGCCCCGTGTGTCCCGCGAGGGTTGCTGACCACCCGGGCCGCTGCAACCGCAGGGCGCCGCAGCCCGGAACCCGCGGGAGAGCTCTGGGCTGGGGCCGGCGGAGCCGAACGCGCGACGCACCAGCCAGTGGGCCTGCGGCAACTTCCGGCGTCTAGTCTCGGCCTCCGCTTAGCCACCGGTACTCGCCCGAGCAGCGCTGGGAAGGCGCGTAACCGACGGGGCACGGCGGAGGGAAAGGGCTTGGAGGCGGGAGGACCCTGAGCCGCGTGTTCCGCAGCCATGGAGCACGACGACCCTGCCGAGGCGCTGACGGAGCTGCGCGAGCGGCGG